ACAGATAGAAGTCTGTCTAATAATCAGATAGAACTTTTGAACAAATAAATAAAAAAGTATACAAAAAGTATTATAACGTTTGCTTTTATATTATTAGTAACAGAAAGGCAAACATTATAATACTTTCTCGCTTGCCGTCACTATTCAGCAAATACGCATATCATTTAAACAAACCTTTAAATGACTAATGAACATTTAATTTCACAAACCTTGCAGACTGTCGAAACCAGCAGTGAGATCTTGTGAAATGTGCATTTGTATATTGCCCGATCGCGTGTGCTCTGCGTGACAGTCGATCCGTGCGAATTGAATCCGGACAGGAGGAGAGTTCAGCTTCACTGGAGACGCGTGATCAACTTTAAACTCGTTATTTCAAACTATGCTGATTTATGCATTTGTCATATTCATGTCGTTTTTACTGCGTGCTGCATGTAAAATGAGTGTTACCTTGGCTTTAGTTGAAAAAATATGATTCCCAAAGCACACAAACTTCCCAGATTACCGCGTTCCCTGTTGGTTACAGTGTTTACTTTCTTTTTGTTTATATATTTTAAAATATTTCTTTATTTGTGAAAAATACTGTAATAGAATTATAGAAATAGGAAGTTGTCATCTAAAGTATAAGTATGTTTATAAGCAAATTTATTTTTAATATAATTCATTTTCAAATGATTTCAAGTTTCTTAAACATTAATTAAAATAAATAAAAATTATAATGAAAATAAAAAAAAAAATTTTATGGCTTAATATCGGCCACCCTGCTCTCTAAGATATCGGCATTGGCTGTCAAAAAACCATTATCGGTCGACCACTAGTTGAAATACTAAAATTATTAAAACTAAAATAAATATAATAATTATATAATTATTATAAAAACACAAGAAAACCATTTAAATAAAACCTAAATATTAGGGATGCTCCGATCGATCGTCGGTATTGGGGTATTGGCCGATAATCACATTTTATGACTCGATCGGGACTCACTACACTTGGCCGATCTCACGAACCGATCGCAATTTGATGACATCAACGTGTGACGACGTACATGATGCATGGGGACATAAATGATTTGGCGCCACACCGGTGGAAATGCTATGACCTTTCGAGAAACAATTAAAAATTTGCTATTTGTCGTGTATGTTTTGCATGATTAAATGGTTAAATTTTAACAGCAGATTCCGTGACGTTAGAGCTGATCTGCGCCTCACTGCACGCATCTGCGGTGCGTTACGGCTCCACGGGAACCAGAGCTGATCGCAGCCGCTCTAATGCTTGTGTATACCGTCCAACCGTGGCACGTTTCTGAAGCGGCTCTTAAAATAGTCTTTTGAGAGTTATCACAGCGTGGAGGACGGAATAAATCCTTGTCGGAGCCGTAAGGGATAACGGTAACATAACACGCTGATCGTGGGCTGTTTTTAAATGAACATTTATTTATAAAACAAAATATCTTCTTTGGCCATACATTAGCCTACTCAATAGCATTAACACAGGCTTTACTCCTTTCAAACTTTACATGGAATGTCACCGTTTCGGTCACTGCAACTTCCCGATCAGGCGAACACACACACACACACACACACACACACACAGACACACGAAATCGTCTGCCTCATGAAAAAAATGTATTTAAAAAAAAATGTAATTAATATTTGCATAATTTTTTGATTTATTTTATCCACCCGCAAATAATCAGAATGCATTTTTTATTACTCGACCCGCGGATTATCCCCAGCACCCATAGATATAGGAAAAGCAAAATATGTTTGCTGCATAAATCAGACGGACTTACTGAAAATGCAAATTCATTCTCTGCCAGCAGGAGGTGCTTTAAAGCAGGAGAAACAGAGGTTTCCCCGGTAACAGCTGTACTCAAAGCAGGCATTTATCAGGCATATAACATGCAAGATTAAATGAAAATTGCATCGAAAATTTTCTAAAGATAGTCTTCCTTCAGAAATACAGTGATATAAAAACACCAGCGCCTCGTTTTGATTTTTAAACGTGTAGCCTAACGTGCTCATGTTTATTCAAGAAGCCTTTTGGAAAATCGGTCAGTTTTGATATTGTGGCAAGCGCCACAAATAAATAAATGTATGGGAAACACATCCCACAGCACAACCACCTGAGCCCAACTTCAGTCTACTTATCACCTTAACTTTAACTGCGTTTGTAGCTGGAGCCAGACTGATAAACAAACACAGACCGGAAGTTAACTTCGGGCCAGGCGCATTGCGCCCGATCAAACCGTCTATATAAAGCTTGAAGTATCAGAATCGGCATTGGTCGATCACCATGACAAGAAATCGGTACTCAGTATTGGCTGCAAAATTCCTGATCGGAGCATCCCAAATAAATATCAATTAAAAAATCTGAAATATTGCTTTAAATTTAAGTTGAATACTAAAATTACTAAAACTGAAATAAAAGTTTAAAATAAATATTTAAAAAATCTTATAAATGACAAAATACAAAACAAAGTTATCAAAACTTATTAAAACTTAACATGAAATATCAAAACATAATCTCATTCAAAGTATTAATAAATACTATAAAAGTAAATGAATAACGGCAAAAAAATCATTACATTTTAATATAGTATTTATCAGAATAACATTAATTTCTAGTCTAGAGAGAGAGAATATAATTATAACAAATATTGATCCTGGATCTGTTCTGTAACTTATTTCAGTACGTGTTTCATTCTTACACAGTGAGAGACTGTTTCCATTTGGGACTGTGAGTGTTGGTGCATTTCTCCGTCTTCTTCGACTGGCCGTCCACACACACCTCAACATAAGGACTGGGCCCAAACCAGTTCTTCTTACTGTCCCGAAGCTTAGCGGACAGAACTGACAAAAGATGACAAATATAATCACAGCTCTATTAAAAGTATTCATCTGACAACAAAATGTTAGGGCTACATCGCAATGAGCGCAAAGGAAAAACACAGTCAACAAATGTCTTGCAATAACATAAAATAGAGATCACTTTGTAAAGCTCACCTGTGATCTGAAGCTGAGCCTTCATTGTGCGGCCATTAAAAACACTTGTTGTGGCTCAAATCTGAAATACACAAATAAATACATAGATCAATATTAATTCGGTTAAGTTTAGGGTTGCAAAAAGGTGGAAAATTTCGAGTAAATTTCGGAAATATTCCAGAAACTTTGGAAACTTTCCAGGAATTTTTGGACAATTTCCGAAAATTTTCCACCCCTTTGCAACCCTAGTTAAGTTTCATCATCACAAAAACTCATGAGCTGAGATAGAAGTAAATAGTGGAAAAAGGTCGACTCACTTCAGCAACATGTAACAGCATTTGCAACCTTTTTTACTTCTGTAATGTGGAACAATTACGAGTGAAACAGGATATGATGTAATGTTGTCTAAGCTAGACTAACCTTTTTTTAGTCGCGGCACCCTTTGGAAATTTTAACAAACTTGTGGCACCCTACAAAATTAATTTTGTCACAATATTTGAATTTCTAACTTCGATGTGATAATTTGAAAAGTATAGATAATTGGTACAACAGGGAAGAACTGCAGAATATAATGTCATACAGATATTTTATTTAAAAATGTTGTCCATCAATGGTGGCAATCAGTAGGCTAATTTCTAATGAAAAGAACTATTTATATGACAGATTTTAATGTAGGCTTTTTTACATATGTAAACATTATTTAATTACCATTATAAATAGCTATCTCACATATTTTTGCTCACTCAGTGTTTTTTTAATTTTACAGTGGGGTAATTTTGGTGCAGTAGCACGAGATAGCTTGACTTCAAACTTTGAATTGAATAAAAAATGACAAGTAAGCAGTCAGTAATAAAATAAGAACAAATAAAGAAATTAATAATGATAGCACAAATAAAAAATTACGACAGGCCTTCGAATGAAATAAATAGCTTTTTAGTTTTTCAGGTAGGTCTAACAGTAGGGTTAAGATATTTAAGATTGTTTTTTTTTACCAATTATCCAAATAATGTTTAGTCCTAGAAAGCTATTATTATCAGAACACTCGAGCATAACATAGCGGTTATCAGATCAATGAATGCGAGGGCAGCGTATATATACCACACCATGTTACAACACAGTAGGGCTATTGCAGACAGAAACAATACTGTACTACATCCATGTTTCCTGTCGGCTCAATGTTTGAGCGGACTTTGCTGTTCCGATGAGCACGAATGGTATACGAGTGGAGCGACTGAGCGGAGCGCACACACACATAGAGCGGGATAATACGCAGAGCGTCACACCACGTGAAAGTGAAACATGAGCGGTGAACTAATTTTCGGCAGCCAGAATTTCGGTGCAGCTCTAATTATTGGCGACATCAGAAATGGATATTATATAATAGATGCTTTTTTGAACATTTTAGCAATTTAAAAATATTAAAAAAAGATTTTTTTACACGGCACCCCGGTTGGGAAACACTGGTCTAAGCCACTGTCTTGGCTTTTACTGGCTGATCTGTCACCAAACGCACTGTAAAGACACATCTGATCCCTGACCAGTGCTGTACGTCGTCGTTTAGTGCTGGTGTGCCCATTAAACACAATGTTATCTATAGCTGTATCTAATTTGCATATTAATGTGCTGTTGGGACATTAAGAGGTGCACTAATGGGAGTAATAATTGGCCAGATTTTCATAATAATATCTAATATTTCATAGAAATAAATTATATATATACATATATGTTATATTTGTCATATATACATATATTTCCCTATTTATTTGTTATGTCTCCCAAAATGCGTAATAAACATGCTTTTAGTCCTGGTGTCCTCTACAGTGGACATGTATGAAATAGATATCTTGTTTCATAACAGAAGCTCATATTTTGATTTGAAACCCCATAACATTTTCCTGAGATGTTGATTCATGACAAACAATTAGAAAATGAATCAGATTAAAATGATTACAAAATATGATCCTATTTCCATAAGGATGTACAATTTATCACTAAATTAATGTCTAATGCCATGCTTAAAGAGCAAGGAGAGGGAGTGGTGAGACTTCCAAACATTGGGTATCTCTGAAAAGCCCTGAATGTGCTCTTCATAGGACATCATCCATGTGAAGTCTCAGAGAAACTCTCTCAAATATAATGTCCACTACAGAGACAAAAACCCATAGCTGGCTCTCAGGAGGATGATGTAATGTTTGTGTGTTGTACCTGTAGGGCAGGTGTGTACTGCGTGTTTTATGCGTGTGAGGACTTCAGAATGAGCAGGCAATGGATTTATTAACATTACTTATGGGCTGTTTTTCCACGAGATGGCACTGTGTGTCAGGGCAGTAATACCACGGTACTTTGTAAGCCAGTACTATAATACAAAAACATGGTATATTTGTTATTACTACGGTACATGAATTTGTTGAGCATTACACCATGGGCAGCTATGGGTTTATACCAGTGAGTACCATGGTATTTGTCACATGTTCTGAAAAACATTGGTATACCATGCAAATACATTGAATATGTGTTTTAATATAAAGGTGGCTCTCAATTAAGTGTGGCCCTTAGATGACCTGACATTTAAAGTACTGTTTCATTATAACTCATTTTTACTTAATGTTTAATTTTTAATGTTTATTTATGTATTCGTTGTCATATCATTTAATAAAACTGCTGTAAATAACATAAATGGATTTGTATGGAGTCAATATAATGCCACATATATATGCAAAATAATAAAGTTTTGCAAAAGAAAATAAATTTTAATAATAATAAATATTTTGCATTGCAAATAAATTAGTAGATATGGCCATGGAAAATATGTATTGCAAAATCATTGCTTTTGTGCTGTTTCATTTATATATTTGCAATTCTTTATTTTTGTTTGCAAAACTTCTTTTTTCTTGCAATACTTCATTTTCTTTTGCAATTCTTTATTTTTGTTTGCAAAAAACACATTTATTTTTTCTCAATACTTTTATTTTCTTTTGCAAAACTTTATTATTTTGCATATATATGTGGCATTATATTGACTCCATAGATTTGTCCTAGCAAAAGCGAGTCAAAGGAGTGATGCGTTGAGCTACTGCTGGACCAATCAGCATCCGAGGAGGAGGAGCCACAGAGCGAGAACTTCGTCGGTGGCTCTTTGAAGTCTGGATCATTTCCGAGAATCGGTTCGCTCGGAGATTCGTTTCAGTGAAGCGTTGCAATAAAAAAAGATGCATCGATTCGTTTTGTTCACCAGCCAAAATTATTACCATAAGGCAAGACATCATATGTTAATAGAGTGAAAATTAACAGATAGCTGAAATGACTTTTAAATATGTAAATATATGATATAAATAATAAAACTATATATATATATATACAGTGCATCCAGAAAGTATTCACAGCGCTTCACTTTTTCCACATTTAGTTGTTACAGCCTTATTCCAAAATGGATTGAATGCATTATGTTCCTCAAGATTCTACAAACAATACCTCATAATGACAACATGAAAGAAGTTTGTTTGAAATATTTGCAATATATTTTTTTAAACAGCAAGAGTGGCTTATAGACAACTCAGTGAATGTCCCTGAGTGGCCCAGCCACAGCCTGAGCTTGAACCCAATCTAACATTTCTGGAGGAACCTGAAAATCTGCGTCTGCCCCCATCCAACCTGACAGAGCTGGAGAGGTGAAGAGGCGAGGAGAAGAATGGCAGATAATTGCCAAATGATGATGATCAAAGCTTGTTGCATCAAAGCCCCCCAAAAAATGTGAGGCTGTAATTGGTGCCAAAAGTGCTTCAACAAAGTACTGAGCAAACGCTCTGAATTATGTTATTATGTAGGCTACATTTTTATTTTTTTTATATAAATTTGCAAAGATTTCAAACAAACTTCTTTCACGTTGTCATTATGGGGTATTTGCACATTTTTCCAGAACAGAAATCGCCACTTTGAATAAAGCCAGATTAAAAGTGAAAGTTCTTCACAGAGGAGGATATGTCTTTTTATCACTCCATAAATCTTGTCAACAGAAAGAAAAAAATTCAACAAGCGCTTTTCGAATCAGTTCGTCCGAATCATTCAAAAGAACCGGTTCAGTCGAAAGAACGATTCTTTTGCGTTCACTAGTATTCCTCAGCATCAGCAGCATTCGCCCAGAAGACTAGCGCCGTGCTGCTGTTCGCACCCCAGTTCCGAGATCTGCTTCTATATCGGTGTCTTAAAGTGCATATTCTTCTTCCTAAATTCTTAAGCAGCTCGTTTAAAGATGTTGGCGTGCACCGAAATGATCACGATGTGTCTCCAGTCGGCGAAGCGCGAGCATCTCCGCTCCAAACAGCAGCAGCATCAGATGCAGGATGCGGTTCACGGACTGCCCATCTTTCACGATGTAAGTAGCCAAACGTTCGGTCAATGAACCCACCAATAGGTGACCATGCGAACATTAACCTTGTACCCAAGAACACAAGTCATTGTGTCACTTCTATTAATGTAGGGTGGTTATGCACATATGAAAATATAATCTTAAAATAGGTTATGCTATAAAGCACTGATTGCTATAGGTACAGTTTGGGGAATAAATAATGCATACGCTTATGCTTATTATAAAGCAGCAGCGTCGGCGAAGCGCGAGCATCTCCGCTCCAAACAGCAGCAGCATCAGATGCAGGATGCGGTTCACGGACTGCCCATCTTTCACGATGTAAGTAGCCAAACGTTCGGTCAATGAACCCACCAATAGGTGACCATGCAAACATTAACCTTGTACCCAAGAACACAAGTCATTGTGTCACTTCTATTAATGTAGGACAGAGAGGGTGGTTATGCACATATGAAAATATAATCTTAAAATAGGTTATGCTATAAAGCACTGATTGCTATAGGTACAGTTTGGGGAATAAATAATGCATACGCTTATGCTTATTATAAAGCAGCAGAAGAAGAAGAAGAAGAAAATCCAAATGCATTGTCATGTCTTAAGTCGTCCATTGTGACATCAGATAGCCGGTATATAGTAGCTATACAGTATATATAGATCACTTACATATTTAAGACCTAATGCATATGTAATAAAGAGGCTTTAATATACATATGAACATAAATTGTCATCTCTTTTTATTAGTGAGAATGCTCATTCACACTCCCAGTCAGTATGGTCATGCTTATTGACTCTGATGCTTTTATGCATTTATGTTGTACAATTAAACAATTTCTGCAGCCACTGATGAAGCATATATGAGAGACCTGACTGTCGCGATTTCCTTCTTTTCTACAATGCAATGTGATATATTCTCTTGGATAGATTGTATGTGTTCATACAAGGCTTTAAGGCTGTGTGCAGTTGATAAAAAGTTGCAGATGTTCTCTCAGCAGGGTTAAGTAAGCTGTCATAGAGGGGGTCTGACAACAGAGAGGATGTGTGTGTGTGTGTGTGTGTGTGTGTGTGTGTATGTGCATGCTTGTCCTTAAAGTCGACCTGAAATCAAAATTGACCTTATAGCACATGTTCCTGGTCTTATTTTGCATGACTCATTAGTGCAATATTTAATTCAAAAGCATTAACTTGGTCTGTCTCTGAGACAACTCTCCTTTTTTGGCTGCAGGCATTTGGTTAATGTTAACCAATAGCCAAGTCATTGTTGTTGTACATGCTTTCTAAAATCGTAACTGAAATAATATGGCAATAATATCAAATACTGATGTATTTGAAAAAGAAGCATCACCACTGGGATAAGTGGAGAAGCTCTGCAGAGTGAAATTGATCTTCATTGCAATCCACATTCAGAGCATTGTGATATGAAACGCTTGCTTTTCTTGATCTAATCAATTCCAGATGGATAAAATCAAGTCCCGTCCTACATTTTTATTCTCTCATATCCTCCTTCCCCATCACATTATGGGTCGCAGAGATTTTATGTTAACTTTACACGCAGCTCCAGCTGTTGTCTGTAAATTAAGAGCTCGACGTGTGCATTTGGGAGACACAAAAAGTCAAAGCATCGTGTTTGTATCTTAAGCTTTCATCCTTTAGCGTGCGCTTGGGGAAGAAAAGTTGCGTGTCTTTGAAAAGTTTTCTGACAGTTCTGATGTGCATCATGATTAATGTTGCTGTGCTGCTTGGATGAATTCAATCTGTTCAAGCGCAGGCTGATCTCAGCGTGTGATTCTGTCATATACTCTCATAGTTTCATTAACGAGACGATTGCTAATGTTGTTGTCTTTTGCCTTGCATTTCAGATCATGTTGAAGCATCTCTTATTTATGAATTTGTCTTCAGAATGTAGAATTATGCATGAAATTAAATATTGCAGGAACTGCTACTGAGCATTCTCATATCATCACCAAACTAGAGTTTTACATTTTATGAAGAGGTCATTGTAAGTGCAAGAACTCACAGACAGATTCTAGAGTGTTTTAATGTGTTGCTAGGATATTCCAGGTGGTTGCTAGGGCGTTGCATACCGTCTGGCATGAAAATAGTATATGGAAATGTAATGTATGACATAGATTGTCCAATATCAAGAGTGATATTGCCATATATGTTATTTATTAGGCTATATATATAATTTTCACATATGTGAATTCTCTATGTAGATGAAAATATATGTTTATAACATATTTATAAACTTCCCATTGTAAAATTTGTAAATGTACACATGCTAATATTATCTATATAATGCAACTATTAAAACAACATATATGCAAAACATCTTTTGGTTTATATATATTTTTGTATTTTTTTAAGTACATGTCTATCTTTTATATTATATAATATAAACATGCTGAACAGGTTTAAGGATGGATACATGACATATATGTCCAAAAATATATTACACAATATGTATTTGTTTGGGCTAGACCTGTTAATATATGAAATTGCTCCAATTTATAATAGGTTTCATATATTTTTACTTCACATATGACAATATATTTAATATATGGAAATGTAATGTATGTGTGTATGTATCAGATTGAGATTTGCAGAAAATATTTCCCCTAGGGATAAATGACCCATACTGAAAGAAATGAGGTACATGACCTGCTAATTAAAATATTACATGACATTAAAAGTAGCGTTTGTCAGTAAAATAGGCCATGTGTCTCAAGTGTTAAAATATCGCTTCTCGCAACACGCGGACAGAGGCTGTGTTTGTGGGAGGTATGTATTCGCTCCCCGAGGCGATAATTGCTAATCATCTTTCCTCGAAATTTCTAAAGCCGACTGACATGAGAAGAGTGAACAGCTACTTATAATTCCCTCGGCCCGCGTTTGAAGCTCTTGTGGGCTGATACTGAACTGTGGGCTCTGAAGGAGAAAGAGATTTGGATTAACTAAGATGCTGTCAGGCCTATTTATAAACCGTAACTCAACTGATATTGTGCTTTGTGAAACGTTTGTTCTCTTTCTAGTGAGCAGAGTCAGTAGGACCCGTGTCTCCCCACTGGCTCAACACCTGCCAGAGAGCCATTGGAAACGATCTCTCGGCAGGAAGCTCAGATGACCTTTAAAGGACATTGTTAATGATGCATTATCCTACACTTATCTTTTGGCAATGCTCTATCGCACATCTGGCTTTTACAAACCTTATTGTGTCATATAAAGCTGAAGAATCAACACACATGCGACCTGCTTTTCATAAGCGAAGTATATTTCACCTTTTAATCTCCATCCCGGTGTGGTTTTGCTTAGATTAATCTGCTCTAAAAGGATTAGTCAGCACTGTTTGACTGTGTGGCTCTCAGCCAAATGCACACAGTGTGTGAATCCAACTATTGGTTTTAGTTAATACCATTTGTCTGAATGACATTTTAATTCTGCAAGCCAGTTAGCTGTGTTTTAAAGTTGTTTGTATTTTATTAAGCTTGTGAAACTGCACTTTTTATGTAAATGTTAAAGGAATAGTTCATCCAGAAAAAAACATGTATTTGGCATATTTGGTCTCTTCAGTGCCATTTTTAACGGAATAGTTACTCACTAAGAAATTACAGTTTGCTGAAAATGTACTCTCAGGCCACCCAATTTAGCATTGCATGGATGCTCTGCAGTGAATGAGTGCCGTCAGAATGAGAGTTCAAACATCTGATAAAAACATCACAATAATCCGAGTAAATTTGTGGATTGTTGTGATGCTTGCAATAGTTAATTATGATCAATTTAAGAGCAAAAAAAGCTTTTTTTGTCTATACGTGAACTTGAATGAGATTTCAGAGCTTCAGCAGAGGAAAAGATTATCATAACAGCATTAGGATGAATAAATAATCACAGAATTTAAATTTTTGCATGAAATGTTCTTTTAAATTAAATCTCAAAGATCTAAGATTCATCCATTTGCACAAACTGCTTTTTTATAAATGGTTATGTTGTTAATATTGAGGCCTAGACAGAAAAGAACTGAGCTGTTATTCTGAAGGTGACACCTACTTCAGCTTGTTTTTGCTGTAAAATTCAAACACTTGCAGCTGTGTTTTATAAGATATAATAAACCGGCCACCTGACAATGTACAGTATGTAGATCCCAGAGGAGAAATTCAGCTCTCCGTAGTGGTGCTTACAAAGACCAGAGCCTCATAAAAGAAGGAAACAGCATAGAAGTGACTTCAGAAAATAAGATAGCATAAAAAATGAGGAAAAATGAGCAGAACTTGTGCATATGAAAAAAAATCACATAAACACATAACAAATAAAATACATTGCTATCAATATGATATTTTGTAATAGAACAGGTGAAAAAAAAAGGTATCAAAAATAGCTGAACGTGAGTTTTCTGACCTAGAACCTATATTTATATTGGAAATATATTAAACCCTTGTACGCAGCCTCGTATGTTCACTAATTCAATCACAGAATAAGCAGAGACCTGCAGGTAATGTGATGTAATTGAAGACTGAGGCTTGTAAATAGATGCTAGAACAAACGCTTGTGGCTATCGACTTGTACACTCTTAAAAATAAAGGTGCTTCACGGTGCCATAGAAGAACTTTTTTGTCTAAATGGTTCCATAAAGAAGCTTTATCATCTGAAGAACCTTTCTATTTCACTAAAGCTTCTTTGTGGCGAAAGAAGGTTCTTCAGATTCTAAAAAGGTAAGAAAGAGATGGTTCTTTAAAGAACCTTTGACTGAATGCTTCTTTGTGGAACCAAAAATGGTTCTTCTATGGCATCGCTGTGAAGAACCTTTTAAGCACTAAGAGTGTATTGACAGTAAGTTGCCCATCGAAAGTGAAGGCCAGGTGGTGTTAAAAGCACTAAAAAATAGGCTTACCGTGATAGACGGTGCTGACGGTGATACCGGTGTTAAGCCGCAACACCGGTTACGTTACATGTCCACCGCGGCACCAACCCCCACCGTCATTTCGATTTGTTTATAGTAATAAAAATCATTTAGTCCAGTAAAAGAACAGACACTACAGTTAAAAACTGAATGCGGCTGCTCAATGCAGCGTGCTGAACGACAGTCGCATCACAGATCAGATTTCATTTCTCCAGTGAGGAGAGTGAGTCCAGCTGACTGACGAGAAGAGTGAGGCGAGACGGACAAGACGATCGCGGATGATTTAGTTTCGAAACGAGATGCAAAAGCTCCTGTTTGGCAGTATTTTGGCTTTTGTAAAGCCTGCTGATTTTGCGGTTTATCTAAGGTGATTTTGAAAGTTTTTTTTTTAAACATTCATTTCTTATTTAACTGGTTCCACATTGTTTGCTGATTTTTGCTTTATTTAAACTTTGTGTCATTTATTTATTTTATTTGACATCAAGGTGAATGCCGTGCCTCCAAGCTTTCTTACTCGTTTTGCTAATAAACGTTCTACGTTTCTTATTTATTTGGTTATATATTATACATGTTTACTTA